AATAAGAATTTAGATGAGGTTAGAGAAAGAATTATGATGATGAAACCTCTCCATACCGTTAGGGAAGCCTTTGCTAAAATTACAAGAGAAGAAATTAGGAGGAAGCTCATGATCGGAGGAAGTGTAGATTCATATAACACTGAAAGCTCAACTTTGTACACACACAACTTAATTATGGTGATGAAACCTTGCCTACCACTAGGGAAGCCTTTGCTGGAGTTAGAAAAGAAGAAAATAGAAAGAATTTCATGATTAGAGGAAGTGTAGATTCATCTGGCATTGAAAGCTCAACTTTGTACACAAATTACTCTTATAAGTCAAAGACAGAAGAATCGTGCATTGTGTCATTGTAAGAAACTTGGCCACATAAAGGAAAAGTGTTGGAAACTACATAATAAACCTGTAGATTGGAAACTAGGGTGAAGGAGGAAAGACCAAGACCGCAAGGCTCATGCTTCTACCTCTGCTGAAGGGTTGGTTGACCCTAACCCTTTACCAAGGAATAACTGGAGGCGTTGAATAATCTTCTTTTGAGTACGATTGAGCGGCGTACCAGTTTGACGATACACCAATGTATCATGTTCTCCTATCTCGCTAACAATGAAAGTTTTCGACCTTGGATAATAAATTTAGGTGTTTTTGATGACATGACTGGAGATATTCATGCTCTCACTAACTACCAAGATTTCACCAACTCCAAATTTATTAGAATTGTCGGTGAATCTCACTCTAGGATTATTGGGAATGGAAGTGACAATCTCCAAAATTATTTTGCTATCTTTTGTGCTATATTTACCCCAATTAGATTGCAACCTAATTTCAACTAGAAAGCTTACTCATGACTTGAGTTTTGTTATTAACTTTCATTTCAATTCTTATGAATTTCATGTGATGGATTCGGGGAATATGATTGACAGTGTTGAATTGCATCAATGTCTATACCTTCTCAAGAAAAGCTATTCTTTTAGCTCACAAGTGTCTTCTTCATCATCCTCTTCCCATGTTCTCGAGTCTATCAAAAATCAAATTTTGTTGTGACGTGTCGTATGGGTCATATCATTTTTCATTATGCTCCAAAGTTGTATCATTTTTTATTTACTATAAAAATTCAGAGTTTTATCATTGTGAAACTTGCTAATTAGCTAAACATACTCGTCACGTCTATTCTTTGTGTTAGTACAAAACCTTACAATCTTTCTCTATCATCCATAGTGACATTAAGGACCCTCAATTAAAACAAAAATCCTAAATTGTATAAATTTTTCAATCCTTTCATAACATGATTTTCACTCAATTTCAATGCAAAATTCAGATTATAAAAATTTATTATGCAAAAGAATAGTTCAACTATATCCTTGGACGTTACCTTGTAAAGAATGATATCATTCATGTGAGTTCTTGTGTTGAAACTCCACAATAAAATGAGATAGTTGAGAAGAAGAATAGATATCTTTTTGACCTATCTAGGTCTATAATGCTTTCTCACAATGACAATTTTTTTGGGAAGGTGTTGTGCTCATAGTCATTATCTCATTAATAGAATTCCAAGTAGAGTTCTTGGATTCAAAACCCTCTTGATATTGTGAAAAAAAAAAAACCCTCATGTAAGAACCTTCTCATCTAGTCTTCTCCTAAAAATATTTGGTCGTCTTTTTTTGTTCACATTCACCTATCAAATCACACAAAGCTTGACCAAAAATTCACCAAATATATCTTTTATGGGTATGCTTCTAACAAAAAGAGGTATAAATGCTATTCTCTCATTATAAGAAAATATTATTATTCCATGTATGTTACATTCTTTGAAAACCAACCTTACTACCCCGAATCTGATATTCAGGGGGATAGTCCAGTAAATTTAAAACTTGGGACACTATTCTAGAGCCATTACAACGTATCCCTACACTGATTTAGAGTCACCGCAACCTATTATACTTTTCTCCAACCATCCTGTCTCCTAAGTTCTACAAGAAAATCTAATATGAGATTTGACAACACGGAGCTTCATGTGTATGCTAGGAGAAAGAAATCCATTGAGTAGGATAATTATAATATGCAACCACAGGACACTTTATAACCAAACCTAAATTCACACTTCTATGAAGTTCTAAAAAAGGTGAAATCTAGTGGAGAAGATAGGTAAGGTTGCACAAATTATTCTATCCAGGATTATTTTGCATATGAGAAGTTATCAACTTATAAAGTTTTTGTATTTAATCTTGATAGTGAGCGGATACCTAAATTTGTTTATGAAGTTCTTCAAAGTTTATAATGGAGAAATCTAGTTGAAGAAGAGATCTAAGCTTTTATTTTAATTGACACATGAATCTTTGCAAGACTTCCTCTATATAAAAAATTCGTTGGGTGCAATTGTGTGTTCAATGTCAAGTATAAAATTGATGGGAGCATTGAGAGGTTCAAGGCTAGGTTGGTGTCCAGAAGGTTTACTCAATCTTATGGGATAGACTATCGAAGTCCTTGTTCTAGGGCAAAGTTAAACACTGTAAGAGTTTCTTTCCATGGCAGTGAACAAAGAGTGGATACTACATCAACTTGATATCAAGAATGCTTTTTTGAATAAAGTCCTTGAGGAAGAAATGTATATGAAAATCCAACCAGGATTGAAAAATGACTCAAATCAACATCTGTATTGTAAACTAAGAAAAATCATTTTATGATCTCAAACATTCTCCAATGGCTTAGTTTGACAAGATTTTCAATGATAAAATCAAATGGATACATCCAATATCAAGCAAATCATACACTGTTCATAAAACATACCATGCAGGTGAGAAGACAATACTCATTGTCTATGTAGATGATATTTTGACAGGTGATGTTAAAGAGATTGAGAAGATTAAGGAGGTTCTTGCCATTGGGTTTGAAATTAAGGATATATGAGCGATAAAATCCATTTTCTGGGCATGAAAGTGGCTAGGTCGAAGACATGTATTATATCCCAAAGAAAGTACATGATAGACCTATTAAATGAGATATGAATGCTGGGCTGCAAAACTGCCAATATTGATATGAATTTCAATAATAATTACATTTAGGGGGAACAAAGACACGAATGGAAAATGGTAGATATCGAAGTCTGGTGGGCAACCTCTTTCACCTATCTCACACTATACTTGCTTTTGCTTACTGTCGACATTGTGAGTCATTATATGAATAGTCCAAATGAATAACATTTAGAGATGTTTTACAGAATATTGATATTTCTTAAGAAGACTCTTGATAGAGGGTTACTGTTTAAGAAATCAAACAATGGGGAGGTAGATGTCTACATTAATGCTAGTTGGAAGGGAATTCACGGATAAAAGGTTCACTTCTAGGTATTGTTTTTATGTCTAGGAAAATATTGTCAGATGAAGGATCAAAAAACAAACATTCGTCTTTAGAAGTAGTGTATAATCCGAGTACCAAGCACTTGCTTCGAGAATTTGTGAAGGAATGTTGTTGCAAAGGTTGCTAAATGAGTTGTGACACTCTATTGTCAATCCCATAAATATGTTATGTGATAGTTAAGCTGTAATTAATATTGTAAAAAATACTATTCATTATGATAGGACCGACCAACTACATTGAGATTGATATACATTTTATCTCTGAAAAGGTCAATGGAGACCTTATTCACTTAAATCTACATTCCAACTCATCTTCAAGTCTTTGATGTCTTCAGTAAATCTTTACCTCTAAGTAGCTTCACTGTTCTGAGTTCTAAGCCGGGTCTTTACAAACATCCTAACCCAGCTTAAGGGGAGCTTCCTATTTTAGTTTTTTTCCCCCTTCTTATGTTGTATTTCTTATCTTCTTGAGTTATATTTTCATTGGTAAGTGTCCAAATCGTTTGCTTATTATATATGAAGAAGAGTTGTGATTTGATTATTGTTTTGTAAGGTTTACATACACATACCATTCAGTTCTTATGTTTTGGAAGAATTGGGTGGTATATATACGCAAATGTCCCTTTTTTCAAATTTTTTTTTTTTTTTTTTTTGTGTCAAAGATCAGAGTGCGAGGCATGTGAATCTGAAAGTTCACGTGTTTGCTATGTAGACATACGAGAAATGTGTAAATACCTTCGTATATCTTTTCTTAGGACCGAAGCTTATTAATAATAACTAACAATTGTGTGTTCAATGTCAAGTATAAAATTGTTG